AGGCTGTCGGATCCTCATTTAGCACTCCAGTCAAAAGCTACAGAATTCTGGAAGGAACGGGTGTTACTTTCCATTGCAAGATGGAAGGAACGCCATTACCAAAGGTAAGGGTGCTAATTATATTGATAAACATGTTCTCACTACAGCACAATGTATACAAGTAATTTTTCTGTCATTTGTGTTAAATAGATTGCCTGGTATAAAGATGGCAAGCGCATTAAGCATGGGGGCCGCTATCAGATGGAGGTTCTACAAGATGGTAGAGCTGGTCTGCGCCTACCTGTGGTGTTGCCAGAAGATGAGGGCATCTATACTGCATTTGCTAGCAATATGAAGGGTAATGCTGTCAGTTCCGGAAAGCTCTATGTGGAGTCCACAGCAGCTGCTCAGCCTTACTACCCACAGGCTGAAGCTGTGAGGAGAGTCCAGTGAGTTGCCTTTGCCTTACTAAGCTTCATGTCCGTATTCACTGTGTTATCACTAGATATAATGTAATAGTGTCCACATTTACACTTCTAATATTTCAGGTCTACATCTCCAATGTCTGCTCGCTCAACTAGTTACTCCCCCGGACGTTCTCCTGCTCGCTCTGTTAGCCGTTCTCCTGCTTGTAGACTTGATGACACTGATGAGAGTCAACTGGAGAGGCTATATAAGCCTGTCTTTGTACAGAAGCCATCATCCTTCAGGTGTTCTGAAGGACAGACGGCAAGGTTTGACTTAAAAGTAGTTGGAAGACCTATGCCCGACACTTACTGGTTCCACAATGGTAAGTTTCTTTTAAATTACACTGCTGTTTAAAAAAAAAATTTTTTAAGAAAGTAATACTTTTATTGAGCAAGGACATATTAATTTAACAGTAACAACATTTATAATGTTACAAAAGATTTGTATTTTAAATTAAATGTGAAGTTGAACTAAATGCGTTATTTTTTTTTATTTTTTTTTTTGCTTGCTTGTTTTCCTTCTTGCTTTTTGAAAATGGAACAAATGGCTTATTATTTTTAATTATCTTTACCAAAGGACAACAAGTGGTCAATGACTACACCCACAAGATTGTGGTACTCAGTCAATGATTGTGGTTCCTGCCATGCCTCAGGACTCCGGAGAGTGGACAGTTGTTGCTCAGAATAGAGCTGGAAAGACAACCGTTTCTATGACTCACTGTGGAAGGTAAACTATTTGTTTTTGTTCTAAAAACTATGCTAGATCTAGACTTGGTGGTGTGGCAGATTGTGCAAACTCATGGCTTACATGTTACAGCAAAGGAAAATTTGGTCCGACCCCAGTTCATTGAAAAGCGAAAGAATATCAATGTTAAGGAAGGAAGTTTGGTTGAGTTGGCAGTAAAAGCCATTGGAAACCCCCTTCCTGACATTGTCTGGCTGAAAAACAGTGACATCATCTCTCCACATAAATACCCTCACATCAAGTAAGTGACTTGCCTTACAAATAATTGTTTAATTATGGTCTGTTTTGTGGTACTAATCTATGCAAACATTAAATGCTAAATCTGTATTTTAGAATTGAGGGTACCAAAGGACAGGCACATTTCCAGATTCCTCAGAGGATGGCTCAGCAAACACAGATGATGCAGTCCTTCATCTCAGAGACGGTAATTAATTTATATGGGGAACGTTATTTTACAGTTTTTCTCGATTGCTTAAACTAGGGATGCACCGATACCACTTTTTCCAGTACTCGCCCGATACCGATACTTTTATTTTTGGTACCACATCAGCTATACAGGCTTTAATACTGAATGTTTAACGTTATATTCATTGCATACATATACTTCGTAGACATCCTTAATCTCTTATAACTATTTGTTTTTGTTCTAAAAACTATGCTAGATCTAGACTTGGTGGTGTGGCAGATTGTGCAAACTCATGGCTTACGTTACAGCAAAGGAAAATTTGGTCCGGCCCCAGTTCATTGAAAAGCGAAAGAATATCAGTGTTAAGGAAGGAAGTTTGGTTGAGTTGGCAGTAAAAGCCATTGGAAACCCCCTTCCTGACATTGTCTGGCTGAAAAACAGTGACATCATCTCTCCACATAAATACGCTCACATCAAGTAAGTGACTTGTCTTACAAATAATTGTTTAATTATGGTCTGTTTTGTGGTACTAATCTAAGCAAACATTAAATGCTAAATTTGTATTTTAGAATTGAGGGTACCAAAGGACAGGCACATTTCCAGATTCCTCAGACTACTGGCTCTGACAGTGCGTGGTACACAGCCACAGCCATTAACAAAGCTGGCAGAAATGCCACTCGCTGCAGAGTCGATGTGGAGGTTGAGTTTACCGAACCTGAACCAGAAAGAAGACTCATCATTCCCAAAGGAACATATAAGGCTAAGGACGTTGCTCCACCAGAGATTGAACCATTGCATCTTCGCTATGGTCAGGAACAGTGGGAAGAGGGTGACCTCTATGACAAGGAAAAACAACAGAAGCCACACTTTAAAAAGAAGATTACTTCAGTCAGGATGAAGCGATTTGGACCTGTGCACTTTGAGTGCAGACTGACCCCTATTGGTGACCCAACTATGGTTGTTGAGTGGCTCCATGATGGCAAGCCATACTTCATATGATCAATGAGTTTGGCTTTTGCAGTCTTGATTATGAAGTTGCTTATTCTAGAGATCAAGCGTAGCGTTAGTTCTGGCAGGTCACGTTAGTCAAGCTCGCATCAGCTGACCTTCAGCTGATCCCCATCTACCTATGGGAATACGACACCTATCTAAGCATTCATATATAAGGTCCCTCAGTATTATTAGCAGTTTTCGCATTGCTCAATAGCTAATTACCCTCCTCCATCCCCAACTCCTCCTCTGACAGTCAGGATTCAGCCTTCTGATTCTCCTTTGAATCAGACTAATTCAATCCCCAGCTCCTCCTCTGTCAGTCGGGATTCAGCCTTCTGATTCTCCTTGAATCAGACTAATTCTAAAATGTGTACATAAAATGATTGAACTTTAACAATATCTGCAATACATTTATGTTAGTTCTGTTCTGTTTACCCTGGGGGGTTATTGCTGCTCTCCCTGCTCTCATCCATGCTAGGCTGCATGGAGGCGCAGGGAGTTCTTGCCCAGAACAGAACCATACCGCCAATCCAAACTGTATGCTAATTGTCAATCATCTTTGACGATAGTGGTCCTGACAGAAATAGTGGTGTCATTACTTGCAGAGCTACCAACAATTTTGGTGCTGACCAGACCTCGGCTACACTAATTGTGAAGGATGAGAAGAGTCTAGTGGAGGATAGTCAGTTGCCAGAAGGTAAAAAAGTACAGAGAATAGATGAAATGGAGCGAATTGCTCATGAGGGTGCACCCTCAGGAGTAACTGGAGATGACATGACAGAGAAGACCAAGCCAGAGATTGTCTTGCTCCCAGAACCCATAAAAGTATTCGAGGGGGAAACAGCCAAATATCGCTGTAGAGTGACCGGTTACCCCACTCCCAAAGTTAACTGGTACCTCAATGGACAGCTCATTCGAAAGAGCAAACGATTCAGACTACACTATGATGGCATTCACTATTTGGAAATCACTGACTGTACGTCATTCGATTCTGGAGGATATAAAGTATTGGCTGAAAACCCAGAGGGTACAGCTGAGCATGCTGTCAAGCTTGAAATCCAACAGAAGGAAGACCTCTGGTCAATCTTGCACCGTGCTCCTGAGAAGACTCCGGAGGCACCTGGCCCTGAACCTGGCAGAGTATCTTTCGATGTTGTGAAGGAAGATAAACCCACAGAGGCTTCACAAGCAAAAGAGGTTGTCAAACTGAGGAAGGCTGAGAGAGTTGTTCATGAAAGATCCACAGAAGAGCTGCGAAGCAAATTTAAACGCAGGACTGAAGAGGGCTATTATGAAGCCATATCCTCAGTTGAGATGAAGTCTCGCAAGAAGGATGAATCTTATGAAGGAATGCTAAAGAAGAGAAAAGAAGAACTTCTGCACTGGACCAAAGAGGTGCCTGCGTCAGAAAAGAAGAAAGAGGAGAAGGAAGGCAAGCTTAAAATTCCTACAATCAGACCTGAGAAAATTACTTTCTCTCCTAGCATGGAGGCTCCAAAGATCTTGGAAAGAATTGAGAGCCAGACAGTGTCCCTGTCTGATGAAGTTCACTTCCGTTGTAGGGTTGTTGGTAAACCAGATCCAGAGTGTCAGTGGTTCAAAATCGGCATTTTACTTGAGAAGTCAGATCGTATTTATTGGTATTGGCCAGAGCACCATGTCTGTGAATTAGTAATCAGAGATGTCTCAGCTGAGGACTCTGCTAGTATTATGGTCAAAGCCATTAACATTGCTGGTGAGGCCTCAAGCCATGCTTTCTTGTTGGTGCAAGGTATGTATTGTCATTTATAAATCAGTGTTACTCCTATGATCACTGTTCATGTCAAAATTACTTTATCTAATAAATTCTCTGTGGATTTTTGCAGCCAAGCAGCTTGTATATTTTACCCAGACACTGGAGGATGCCTATGCTAAAGAGAAAGACACAATGGTAACCTTTGAATGTGAGACAAATGAGCCATTTGTCAAAGTCAAATGGATGAAGAACAATGCCGAAATTTTCTCTGGAGACAAATACAGGATGCACTCTGACAGAAAGGTGCACTTCCTATCTGTGCTGATAATCGACATGCAAGATGCTGCTGAGTACACTTGTGCTGTAGCTGATGATGACCACATAAGAACCACTGCCAGACTTCATGTTGAAGTATAGTTTACACTTAAACTAATTTGTTGCTGTTTTAATTTACATTTACATCTGGGAATTTTTGGTCAAACATCTAATTCGTTTTACAGGTGCACCATTGGAAATTATTAAAAATCTGGAGAGTGTTGAAGTGCCTGAGACATACTCTGGAGAGTTTGAATGTGAGCTGTCCCGTGAAGATGCTGAAGGCACCTGGTACTTTGAGAATAAAGAAATTACGCCAAGCCTAAAATATGTTGTATCCTCTCGTCGTGGCCGACACACCCTGTCTGTAAAAGATGTTAGGAAGGAGAACCAAGGCAAATACACTTTTAAAGTGGGTGATCTGAAGACAAGTGCCACACTGAAGATGAAATGTAAGTAGAATTTTCATATAATTTATATATTATATAATAATTTACATGTGACATGTAAATAATTGTATACTTTTGTTTTATTTCAGTGCGTCCTGTAACACTGATGCAAGGCCTCTCTGATCTGACAATTTGTGAGGGTGATATTGCCCAGTTGGAGGTGCGATTCTCTCAGGAAAATGTGGAGGGAACATGGATGAAAAATGGCCAGCCCATCACTGCCACAGACCGAATTCACATTGTCATTGACAAACTTGTCCACAAACTTCTGTTTGAAAATGTCAACAGGGCATTCAAGACATTGCTACAAGTGGAAAACTTTCTGTCCAAAGTAAGTTGGTTTTTGATGCAGATGCATAGACTTTGAAAACTGAAATACAGTACGAGAATGCAGAAATGTAACTTTTTTCCCTCTTCACAGCTATTGAAATCATATTACCTCTCAAGGATGTTCATTCTATCGAGGGTACAAAGGCAGTGCTAGAAGCTAAAATCTCTGCCTCGGATGTTAATGCTTTGAAATGGTACCAACATGACAAGCTCCTTGTGGCTAGGGAGAGAATCCAGATGGTTGCCAAAGGGACCAAACAGAGACTAGTTTTGAATAGGTCCTTTGCTTCTGATGAAGGACATTATAAGATGTTGTTGGCAGAGTGGAAACAGCTTGTAAACTGACTATTGAGAGTGAGTATTTCTGTTAATGAACCAATATAATGTCTGTCTTAGTGTTTGTTTAAAGTTAAGTTTTATGGGTTTCCATTATTAATGAACATTTTATGTCTTACAGAGGTCAGTATCATCAAGCACATGCAGGACTGTGTGTGAACTGAAACTCAGAATGTCACCTTTGAAGTAGAATTATCCCACGCTGGTGTATAGATGCTTATTGGACCTTCAAGAATCAGCCTCTCAAGGCTGGACCCAAATGCAAAATTGATTCCAAAGGGAAGCACTATACCCTGACCATCATCAACGCCATCGCCATGAAGGATGAAGAGGGCCAGTATAAATTTGCAGCAGGCGAAAAGACTTCCAGTGCAAAACTAACTGTATCAGGTATGATTTTTGTCATTTGTCAAATATCTGTCAAGTTGATGCACAGATACTGCCTCATGATTATGTTTTTCTTACACTAGGTGGAGCTATAAACAGACCACTCCATGATGTGACTGTAGCAGAATACCAAACTGCTGTTCTGGAGTGTGAGGTTGCAAACCCCACCTCTGAAGGCCAGTGGCTTAAAGATGGCCACTCTGTTAACTTTAGTGACAATGTCAGGAGTGAGGATATAGGTACAGTTCGCCGACTTGTCTTTGTTATCACAAGACCACAAGATATTGGGGAGTACACCTATCAAGTGGCAAACTCCAAGACATCTGCCAACCTAAGGGTTGAAGGTACTTTTACTACCATGTTTTGAAGGCAGAATTCCATTTCCATACTGAACTTATTTTCCTTTGTATGTAACTGATTGCAAATGTGTCTTTCACAGCTGTGAAGATTAAGAAAACATTGAAGAACCAAACAGTCACCGAAACCCAAGAGGCAGTGTTTAGTCTTGAACTCACTCATTTAGATGTGAAAGGATCCCAGTGGATCAAGAATGGAATAGAAATTGTCCCTAGTGACAAATATGAGATAACAGTAGATGGATTGGTTCATACTTTGAAGATCAAGAACTGCAACTCCCAAGATGAATCAGTTTATGGATTCAAACTGGGAAAACTCTCTGCTAATGCCAGACTGAATGTTGAAAGTAAGTTTATTATTTGCCAAAATTAAAGACAGTTTGTATTTAGCAGAGAGAAAAACTCTAATATGCAATTGAATTCTCTTGCAGCTGTTAAGATTGTGAAAAAGCTGAAAGATGTGACTTCCCTGGTCAATGGATCTGCCTCTTTTGAGCTGAGTTTATCCCACGATAACATACCTGTTAAATGGATGTTCAAAAACCAAGAGCTGAAACCTAGTGCCAATATTCAAATAATGTCTGAAAGAAAAGCACATAAGCTGGTCATTCAAAATGTTGATGAAAACAGTGAAGGAGAGTACACAGCTGTAGTTGGACATTTACAATGCAGTGCATATTTACATGTTGAATGTAAGTATCATTTTAAAGAAGTCTCCAGCCTAAACTTGTCTAATGTCTAAAATACTCTGCAAACTCCATGTAATGATTATTTTTAGCTTTGAGAGTCACAAAGCCCCTGAAGAACATTGAGGTTCCAGAGACCCATGTAGCCACGTTTGAATGTGAAGTTTCACATTTTAATGTTCCATCCACCTGGCTGAAAAATAGAGTTGAGATTGAGATGAGTGAGAAGTTCAGGGTTGTGGTGCAGGGCAAACTGCATCAGCTGAAGGTCATGAATACCAGTAGAGATGATTCTGCAGAAAACACTTTTGTATGTGGAACAGGGGCGGATCTACCGGGGTGGCAACTGCCACCCTAAGAAAAAGCTGTGCCACCCAGGGCCGAGTCTAGGGGGGGCAATGCCCCCCCAGATTCTCCTTGTGCCCTCCCCAAAAATGTCCAGCCATAAATAAAAAATAAGCATTAAACACTTATTATTTGTACTATCTAAATAAGGATCAGTCACTTTGTTCAAAGGAAAAATTGACAATTATGCACAATGACATTTGATCTCATAGCCACAAAATCGTATTATAAATAATAATAAAAAGCTAACCGTAACATCCAAGCCCTCAGCCAGATTCTCTTTGTGCCCCCCCAAAAAATGTCCAGCAAAAAATAAATAAATAAACAAAAAATAAGCATTAAACACTTATTATTTGTACTATCTAAATAAGGATCAGTCACTTTGTTCAAAGGAAAAATTGACAATTGTGCACATAATGACATTTGAACTCATAGCCACAAAATCGTATTATAAATAATAATAAAAAGCTAACCGTAACATCCAAGCAGAAAACACAACAGTGCATTTCTGTTCCGTGAAGTATAAAATTGCCTTTATTACAATCACAATCACCTGCTTGCCTGTAAGCCTACTTAGTATATCCTATTTTTAATAAACTGTATGCTGAATTTGTTTTTGTGTGAGTGTGTCTTCCTTCTTTAGCCTTCATTGGCATGAATGGCTCGATTAGTTCCTGTATCAAATGAAGGCCCGGATGATTGTAACCACTCTAAGTTCGTCTGCCTTGGGAAAGCTAGCGTGTCTCCGACATAGTGATAACACTCGTTGCTAGGTTGGCCATATGCACCGTTCATACGGGACACGTCCCGGCCAGGATTTTAATATTGCCTAAAATATCCAGGTTTTGGCTGTTTGCACTGTGTAGGTCGATCATTGTGTGACATTCATGAGAGCTACAGAGAGCAGAGTATTATATATAATTAATAATTATATATAATTTGTTGTACATATCCATTCATATGTGTAAATAGTAATAATAGGCCTACTAACAATAATAATAACGGAATAAGCAGGCTAATCAGCCAAAATTGCAATGTTTTTAATAAAGGTGTGTATTCTGTAGCCTAATGTTATTAGATAACAGGTGAAAAAGCCACTATGATGTGACAAAGTGTCTTGTAGACAATAAGGAGGATGTTTTGGCCATTCTCTCAGAGATTTCACACAGCAGTACTGCACCCATGAATATCAGAACAGAAGTGTAACTGCACTGGTCTAATTAAATGATAGCCACGCTTCATACAGATGTCTTTTTGCTGTTTATTGGTCTCTCTGTCTCTTTTCAGCAGACACCGTGAAAACTGCAAGAAATAAAGCATATAATGTTCAAAATATACATTTAGGTCAAGTCCTTTTCAAGTCTCTCATGTAAATGTCCGCTGATACACAAGTGAACACATGCAAAAAATCAGAATCCAATGACATCGCTATTTACACATAACATTGTTTACGTAAACTGATATAAAACAACACTATACACAAAATGCAACAGATTTAAAGATTAATTACCGTGTGCTCCCTCTTAGACCATGCAGATAAAGGTACTCTTTTGGAGGCTCTGCATACCATTAGCGTTTCTCTGCATCCATGTTACTTCAACCCATAATGCAACGGTCCCGCGTTCAACTCAACCTGGTCATGTGACCTGTTACGCTTCAATAGTAACTCTTCTTAAAGAACCCCTAACTTTAAACATTTTAAGGGAATACATTCTCTACTTATTAACTTGAATATCACATACATACATTTTACTCAAATATTTTTAAACAATAAATTAACTAAAATTGACAAATTTTTAACAGAAACATAAATATGCACTAGTTCAAATAAAGCATCAAAAGCAAGAAATCATATGGTTTTATTAAACAAAATTGTTAAATTACATAATGTATTATAAACAATAGAGCTAATGTACATTACGCATTACAACAAAGGCCTGCAGAGGGCGCCAACGGCCTGATGATTATTTTTACACATTGCTGTGCGACTTGCCGAAATGCGACAAGTCTTCGGATGGAAAGATGCTCGTTTTATCGCCATTTTAAATAAATTATACTGTATATAAATCTTGTAAAACTTTTTATTCATCAAAAAAATCCTGAAAAAAATGTATCACAGGTTATAAAAAAAAATTAAAAAGCAGCACAACTGTTGTAATGGCTGATGAAAATTCAGCTTTACCATCACAGAAATACATTATATTTTAAAGTATACTTAAACAGAAAAACATTATTTTAAGTTGTAATATACCTCACAATATTACTGTTTTGTCCTGTGTTTTTGATCAAATAAATGCAGGGTAAAATAACATTTTGTGTACGCACCATAACAAAACGATAGCTGAAATGTGGAACTTTATTCACTAAAATCAGTTTAATCTTACCAGAAACTCGTTCACTCTACTGTTATTTAATAGATTAAATGCACTAGAATTGTATTGAATAGTACGTGGAGACACGTTTTTAATTAAAATATTCATATTAATCAAGGATTTATTTACTTCTATTGCACCTTATTTCGAAATGTACTGAAATGCGTGCTTTCATATGATTCATTTATTCACTATTTATTATAAATGTCTCATTTCAGTTTTAGTTTAGCTCTAGTTTTGTATTTATTCCACAATTTAACTGGAAACATAACAACATTAAAAAAAGAAAAGTACAAAATATAAGGAAAAGTGCAAACACTTGTATGAGAAAGAACAACAAAAAATTCACTAGGTTGTATAACCACGAACCTAGAACATACCTCGCAACCTAGAGCGTCTCCAAAAACAGTCATATCTCATACGATCCTACCCGTAATCAGTCCAGGTGAATAATTATGTCGAGTCAATGCGTTTTCCTTCAATGTAACCAAACGGTCCGCGGTAGTACGCTTTCTTTCCTTCTTTACGCGCCTGGTCGATCAAAGGCCATAGCGCAGCGCGGGCCAGCCGGTCCTCTCTCGTCAGATCCTCCGTGAATCGAACTCCGCGGTCCCGGCAGACTGATGAGTTCTTTGTTGATTTCCAAATTTCATCCCTATATTTACGCATTGTAAACTGCACAATCATCTGCCTTGGTTTCCCTGGCTCCTTCTTGCCGATTCGGTGAACTAGGTCAACAATGCCCTCTAATTACTGAACCAGGTGCGGTGCGATTTCAGCAGAAAGACCGATCACTTCCC